ATAACTCGATCAGAATAAAGAGATACTGGCTGAAGAGAATAAGTGGCAAAGAATGAGCAGAGAAATCGTGAACATAGAGGCTGCAAAACAGTAGAGAAAGATGTGGATAAAATTGGGATAAAAGTTGATGCGAGATAGAATACTCTTTGTGAAGAAAACCCGTTTTATCGACTGTTTTGTTCTCGCACTCCCCCTCTTAGAACACAAGTTAAACCCTTAATAACTGTTATATTTTTAAACTCTGTCTGACCCTTTTTACTGTCATTTTGTTTTCCTCAGAGGAGGAGTGGTTTTACTGCATGAATACTGTTGCTTTGTGTGGCATTAAACAGATCTCTACGCAGCATTAAGCCTCGGCTCATGTGTGGAGGGTTATGCTATGATTGTGTCTACACCCTGCCTGGAAGGATTATTCGCTAACTACTGGGAGAAAGGGAACCCAAGACGGTCAGAGAGGGTTGGACCGTCACACTCTTGTTAAGAGAGGTGGATGAGCACTGTGGAGGAAAGGGACTGCTGATCAGATCTAATTGGAAACTAAATGGCATGATTTAGGCCAAAATAGAGGATTTGGAGAATTCCCAATCACAATTCAGCTGTTTTTGCTTCAACAAGGCATCATTGTGCAGCTGCAGGAGAGAGAAAGCCGACACCGGAGCCTGCTATGCATTATCACACTCAGGGCCGGTGCAAGCTTTAATGGCTACACAGGCGAAGATGCATTTTGCCACTCCACCTCCCTACCTCCCTCTTGAATTTCTTACCCCCCTTGTGTGTATCTTATCTCCCTTTTATCTTACACTCCCCTTTAGTATATTTTATCTTCCCATTTTTTCACTTTGTGTGTCTCTTATTTCACTCAGCCCCTTTGTGTGTCTCTTTCTACACCAGCCCCCTTATGTGTCTCATTCACCTGGCCCCCACGTGATTCAATTCTCCAGACTCCCCATGTCACAATCCCCCCCGTCCCCCATGTGTCACAATTCACCAGCCACCTATGTGTCAAAATCACCCAGGACCCCCATGTGTCACAATCCCCCAGGCCCCAGTGCGACCGCTTACCCCATCCTGTGCGTTGTAGCATGGCCGAGTGCGGACTAAGGTAGAGTAACTTGTTTCCCTCTCCCCGGTCTGACAAGAAGCAGTTCTGCCAGCTCAGTGCGAGTACTTCCTTGTCAGACCGGGCAACAAGCTCTTCTACCCAAGTCCGCGTTCATCCATGCTACAATAAATGACTGGCAGGAGGGGAGCGCTGTGCAGTGCGCTCCACTCCTGCTGGTCACCCGGGCATTCCGACCCCCGGGCTGGTGCACCCTAAGGCAACCGCCTGTGCCGCCTTATGGTAGTACCGGTCATGATCACACTGATTAGACTTACTCTCTTCTTTCTCTGTCAGGATGTTGAAAGGTGAAGCATCTTCCAACTGCATATGTTTAAATTTGACAGGCATGCACTTTTCAAGCATTCCTAGGGATAGGACACTGATTGGTTAGATCAGTGTCCCTCCTGGAGTGGGTGTGGAAAGCATAAGAAAGAAAAAGCTGGTAAATATGAAGAAAAAAAAAAACATATTTACCTGCTTTTTCTTCAGCCCGCAGAGTGAGGCAACTGTCTCATTTAAAGTTAAAGCTTTTGAATGAGACTTATCTCAAAGTGATGCATGTCCCTATAAGTCCAGCCAATGCTAAAGGCCAGCGCTTCTTTAACCATCTCAGGTTCTGCTTGTTAAGTATTCCATCCTGAGTAATACTGATTCCATAATTCCTTACATCCAGATCTTTGGCACATATCATTTTGACCTGAGCGATTCATGCCTGTAGGTTCCGCACAGGAGCCTGACGTTCTGACTCCTGCCTTAACTTTTCTAATGTTATCTACATTATATATTTAAATGATATGCTCACTGTAGGAAGAAATGTGCTTGTAGGTCACAGGAATTAGTCATAAATGTGGTTCTACCATGGGCTGTCTCTTGCCATTTTGGATCCTTCAGAAATAAATCTGAGGAAACATTCTTAAAAGGGATCTAACTCTAGCCCAAGCCTTCTCCTTCTGTAGCAGCAGCACTGTCTGCATTATTATTAAGGGGAAAGCTGTATGAATGATTAAAAGAATGGAACCAAAGATCAGGACTTGATTCAAGCTAAGCTAGAATATATATTTTGAAATTAGTTGTGTTTTTTTATTTTTACTTTTTCATTACATTAGAACCTTCACTCGTACTTTGAGTTCCTGACAAGTCACATTTTGATGCATAATCTAGTTGGAGTGAAGTGTTTAAATGAGGAGGGGAGAGCAAATGGGAATTATTTTAGAAATAATGAACAATTTGCAGTTTTAATTATTTTCAGACAAACCAAATACGTATCACAATATACTATTAAAAAAACTAGACGAGATTATCTAAAATTGAAAATAACTATGTTATGGACGAATTGACCTCTAAAGTCCCTTGAAGGGAGTACATGCTGGGGGGATATGTGGTGGCACACTACCCTTCACCTACGCGGCACTTTTGTTATTCACACAAAATGGGAGGTCAGGTGAACCAATACATTCTTGCAAGAAATATTCTTTCTTTATTTCCTTGTTACAATGTTCAAGGTGGTTGGTTATAATGGCCAATCGTTGTGGCTAAGTAAATGGAGAAACTTTTTTTGTTTTTATCCCGTTCTTTGTTACATTTTATATAAAATAAGCATTAAAGGGAAACCATAGTGCAATGAAAACAAGTTGATTTCCTAAGACTTTAGCTCCCTATGGTTAAATTCACTGGCACAGATTAAAAGTCTGTATTGTGGAAAGGGGGGCTTGCAAATGCTGCAGACAGCAGATCTGCCGCTTTTGTAAGATTCTTTTTCATATATCCCTAATAAAACATTCATTAAAATGTATATATGTTTCTTGGGGGAATAGATCTACTATACAGTGGGGTTCTGGGAAAAGTAGAGTGGTCATTTCATTCCCAAATAGCAGAAAATAAAACAGTGAGACTTCAGAGACATGATCTATACAGCAAAGCTGCTTTATTGAGTTTATTTTGATGACTACAGTGTCCTTGTAAATATTATGTATTTTGTTGCCTAGGGTTGCAAGTGGTTTTTCGATAAACCCTAAATGAAAAATGCAGAATTAAATGTGTGCAAGTTTTCATTTGGGTTATATCTATTAAACAGTGATTTTTCTTTATTTTGTATTTGGTCCGTGGAATGTCCCTTTAATTTTGGGTTACTTGAACATTTCCTTTCTTTTTTCCTTTTCAATAGATGGGTCGACGAATTTAATTATTCAAAGTACTGACCACCCTCCTCCATTTTTATACAAAATGCCTTGATTCCTGTGTTAGTCATCCCCCCATGTGTAATCTCTTGTTCCCTCAACCTGCTTCTAGCTAACTACGTGCAGACACACCTGCATACACAAATAGCCCAAAACACAAGTGTACCCTCAATTTTGTGCCCCTCCCACCATTCTTATGTACCCCAATGCCATGGCTCCTTCCACCTGCTTAGCTTCATTAAAGGGACACTATAGGTATCAAACCAACTTTAGCATAATGAAGCAATTTTGGTGTATAGAAAACTGGAGAGTGTTTCTATTTTTTTGGCCTTAAATTAGAAAGTCACTCTGAATTCTCAACAATTCTCACAAACGTGAATAACTCGATCAGAATAAAGAGATACTGGCTGAAGAGAATAAGTGGCAAAGAATGAGCAGAGAAATCGTGAACATAGAGGCTGCAAAACAGTAGAGAAAGATGTGGATAAAATTGGGATAAAAGTTGATGCGAGATAGAATACTCTTTGTGAAGAAAACCCGTTTTATCGACTGTTTTGTTCTCGCACTCCCCCTCTTAGAACACAAGTTAAACCCTTAATAACTGTTATATTTTTAAACTCTGTCTGACCCTTTTTACTGTCATTTTGTTTTCCTCAGAGGAGGAGTGGTTTTACTGCATGAATACTGTTGCTTTGTGTGGCATTAAACAGATCTCTACGCAGCATTAAGCCTCGGCTCATGTGTGGAGGGTTATGCTATGATTGTGTCTACACCCTGCCTGGAAGGATTATTCGCTAACTACTGGGAGAAAGGGAACCCAAGACGGTCAGAGAGGGTTGGACCGTCACACTCTTGTTAAGAGAGGTGGATGAGCACTGTGGAGGAAAGGGACTGCTGATCAGATCTAATTGGAAACTAAATGGCATGATTTAGGCCAAAATAGAGGATTTGGAGAATTCCCAATCACAATTCAGCTGTTTTTGCTTCAACAAGGCATCATTGTGCAGCTGCAGGAGAGAGAAAGCCGACACCGGAGCCTGCTATGCATTATCACACTCAGGGCCGGTGCAAGCTTTAATGGCTACACAGGCGAAGATGCATTTTGCCACTCCACCTCCCTACCTCCCTCTTGAATTTCTTACCCCCCTTGTGTGTATCTTATCTCCCTTTTATCTTACACTCCCCTTTAGTATATTTTATCTTCCCATTTTTTCACTTTGTGTGTCTCTTATTTCACTCAGCCCCTTTGTGTGTCTCTTTCTACACCAGCCCCCTTATGTGTCTCATTCACCTGGCCCCCACGTGATTCAATTCTCCAGACTCCCCATGTCATGTCCCTTTAATTTTGTTTATTTTTAATTATTCAAAGTACTGACCACCCTCCTCCATTTTTATACAAAATGCCTTGATTCCTGTGTTAGTCATCCCCCCATGTGTAATCTCTTGTTCCCTCAACCTGCTTCTAGAATCGGTATTTGGGGTTTATTAGGAGGTATTAAGGTTTAGTTCATATATGACAAAATAAATACTACTATTTTTTTTAAGTTCAACGCCACCTTAGAAAGATACTTTCTTTGACAATGGTACAACTTCAGGAAGGATTTATTTCCCCACAGTCAAATATATATGAGCTTAGTTGTAAATGTAAGCAAAATATATAATTAGAATTATGTATTTTTTTTTTTAAGAATAAAAAAACGCTAAGAAATAATGATTGCTAGCTCCACACAAATTATTTTTTATTCTTTACATTTTAAATTGATGGTACTGACACAGACACTAGCACAAAATAAGATACCATATTTTGTAATATATAAATTCATTTAAAAAGTTCTTAGTGATCCATATACACAAAGACAAAAAATAAATAAAATGTCAACAATTAAGTCCTATAGAACAGTGCAATTGTAAACTGACATTCCCGGTTCATGCAAGAAACTAAGTTCATGTGAAATCAAATTCAAACAACTGCTTTAATGAGCTCTCCCTTAAATGGTAAAGCACAAACACAGGGACTGGAATTAAGAACCTGCATTAGGCAACAATGAATTGAACGTGTACACTATATATATTATTGATACAACGCAATGTACAGACAAAAAAGTGTTACAAAAAACATAAAAATAAACAAAATAAAATCAAGAAAAACAGAAAAAACACACAAACCAAAAACATTACATGTTTGGCACATTAACATTGTAAACTAGAATGTTTGCAATTGTGGTGATATAAAATGTTGCATGTAAAATATCAAAATTTTTATAGAACTTTTCACAGGCGCCTTTAAGCTGTATTTGAAAGTTATCAAGTAGAAATTGTGCATGGCAAAGTGGCACGGAAGAAAAGCTGTTAAAAATTGTAATATGAATGAGCTACCTATGCAAATATGAAAGGAGACAAATATATATATATATATATATATATGAGACTTGTCTTCAGTGTACACAAATGGGCATCTAATAATGCAGCATACATAAAAATATATGATTGTGTATATGTTAGGCTCGCATTCTATCCAAAGAATGGTCAGTGTGCTGGCTGTTATTATTACTGATACAAATATTGGTGTGCATATTATTTGAATATTAATAAAACCGATTTACAGTTTGATTTACATTTGCAACAGGGTTAACATTTATAACAAACTGTTAACTCTCCTCGTACGGCACCCTGTCGTCTCCAGTTATATGTATATTTTAAAAAAAGGACTTGTAGTTCACACAAGTCTCCACGCATAGTGGGATGTTTTAAATGATAACATTTTGAATGTATCAGATCTTCTAGAGTTTGTTATAGTTATAACGATAGGCATAAACGTAAAACAGATATAAATGTTTTTTTATTACATTATCATTGCAAATATGGATTGTTGATTTAATTTAATGTACTGTTCATTATTGCACTATAATAAATTTATGAACTAGAATGTAGTACAGGCAGCATTTATTTTTCTCAGTGGCATTAACTGTTTGCTAGTGCTTTTGTTATTTTGTTTGCGGAAGCGCCACAAAACCTAATGTGATAAATTATTTTGTTTACATAGTACACAGACATGACTTGAACCAGGGATTTTCAATTTAGAACAATTAATCTCACGACAACAGTCATATTGCTGCTAGTGAGAATTACTTACCTTTCAGCACTAACTGATCTCCTCACTACCACTCCACTTCTTTGGCAGAGATCAACCAATCCAGTGCTTCCCCATAGGGAAGACATGCATTAGGTGCTGAGCCAATAAAATATTGCTACCGGACCAGCACTTTCTCTATAACCTTTATAGCAGAGACAGACACACATTAAAGGCGTGTTTAACCTGCAATTTAAACATTGTTTACAGAACAGCAATGTCTAACATTGCAGGCTTGAAAAAGGACATGGGGCTGCACCAACACCATGTCATTGAGAATATATGGGTGCCTTTAGTGTCCCTTTAAAGGTGGAATTGACAAGGAACAATTGCAAACATAGCAGAAACGTACAGGAAAAATATCAGGAAATCACACTATACCTTGTACTTAAAAGATAATGACATAAAATGTTGATCACATGTGTAATTTAATTGTAGTGGAAATATGACTAATAATCAGTGCTAAAATCCTAAAGCAGACAAAAGTGGCTCACAGCCATTTTTGCATTTTGCAATTAGGGAGATTTTTGTGTTTTCGGCATAGGGTAGCAGCACCTCTTACAATACACAGTATAATGATTTAACAGGAGTACAGTGGAATCTCTATCCCCTCCAAATAAGAAACTAGAAAACACAATAAAAACAAAAAACCCCACACACACACTGTAAACAAGAGAACAGCATCGGAAAAGTCCATACATTTAAAGTGTGTATAATATATCCTATTTCCTCTTATGAGCATTTATCAGTACTTCAGCAGTCGGACGTAGCAAAATTCAATGAGCATAACGGACACCATAACCAAAACAATGCTGGTAGTTATGGTGCTAAGAGGCTGCAGGTGGTATCCTCTGCCTTTAAGTAAAACAGTTTTTAAATAGTTTGAAGAAAACTAGGAGCTCTGAGGCATCCAGGGACATGCAGCCCTCGTTCACTGAATTGCCTCCTCACCTCATAACCATAATCTAGAAATATCCATTTTGTCCACAACTGACATATTTGAAAGGGATGGGTGTGGAACTATTGCATCAGCAATCTGGCAAGCAAAAGGGGGCAGGCTGCGAATGTCAAATCACTCAAGAATGATTTGACCTGGGATCTAGATGAAGGATATATACTCACTAGAATGACATGTAGCAGTTATGGTGCTTAGACTGTCTCCGTAAGTCATTACTACTATGTCACGATCTACTAGACAAGATCAATATTTGTGGCATTAACTAAACTAACAAGAATACAATAAGCAGGAATAGCACTAAACAAATACAATAGTTATTCAATAAAGAGAGAATTCCAAATGAATTTAGAATTTAATTTTTAAACTGAAAACATTATCTAATTCAGTTCAGCTACTTTGTCCAAAAATGTGTAATTCACAAACCGGAACCACAAGGACGCAACAATAGAGGCAGACACACAGAGCTCCAGAATAAAGCAACACTACATAGACATAACCATGGAAACACGCAATAGAGGTGACACAGACTTACCGCAGAAGGTTTCACCATCACCAGTAGAGGGGAAGGACACGAAACACACAAAACAAATACAACCCCAATATGCACGAGCGGGTAGCCACGAGACACACTAGAACTCAGGGCTACAGACAAAAGATCAGAACGCGTAAACACCAACTCACTTTCGCAAGATGGGCCTTCACTGCAGTCTACGGCAACAGGGATAAATACGCAATCACTGGCATCTCAGAAGAATACAGTGTATCATTAACGAACCACACTAACACCATTTAATGAGCCGATAGCTGAACACATGATACTAACTGCCACCCCAAATAGCCACCACATACCTGACGAAAACGCCCTAACAACGCAATACCAAGCAAGCTCACCACCTTTTGCATGTCTAGCCCTGCAAGGCTTATAAATGTCTAATATTTGTCATTGCATGTCTATATTGACCTATACGCCTCTGCGCAGGCAACTATGTGTTACTCTGAGTTAACTGGAATATGTCGGCCTCACATTATATACACTTTCAACGTGCACGCCTCTGCGTAGGCAATTATATGCATGAATGTTACCAAGTTCAACACCCGTGTTTATATTGCTGACAATAAACATATTTAAAACAAAAATGTGTAATTCACTTTGAAATGTCACTTTAGCAAATAACCCAGATTGCGATTCTTCCCCTTTAAAGTAATCATGCCTTTAATTACTTAGTATATATGTCTCTTTGGAAACATGAGTTTTTGTTGCTATTTATGCCACTTTTAATTCAAACTGTCTAGGGTGAAGAGAAGGTTTAAACAACATAGGACATGCAATCAATTAAATACCACAAAGCACAGAGTTTTCTAAGGTAAAGTCATAGTGAAATCTTGCAAAGTTCTCTTCCAGATTGTATACTGGAACCCTTTCAGGAAGCTCGCTACAAATGTTCTGTACTTCCTGGACATGAGGCGCCAAAATGAAAGGGATATCATTTAGAAGTTCAGTCATCAAGTTGCTTCCCTCAGACATTTCACTGGTGAGCTTGGGGGCTCCGGTACCATCTCCATTTATATTTGGTGTGCTTTCTGCAGGTTTCTAAAACAAAACAAACAAAGATTAATAATATAAAATCAGGAAATTACATTGAGACTTTCAGTCTCGATTATTCTAATTACACACAGACACATACACAATATAATTTTTTTCTGATTAAAATTAACTCAGTGATGGAGACAGGAACAGCTTTCCAATTAGGCAGAGTAGGCACCTGTTTTAAGCTCCTACAATGTGCCTTTTGAATTTAAATAGGTTGGTGAAGTGCCAGGAGCCTGGGTCAGTGTCCATTGTAGTCCAGTCATCCTTAAAGCGGCACTGTCACGCCATACTTACAGTTTCCCAATCACCTTCTCTTCAGCTTTCCTACTCTTTTTTATATTTCTTCATTCTACATGCACCGCCATTGGGTGGCGACTAGGGGATGGGACAATAGGTCCCATCATATTATCTTTTATGACCAACCTGCCGCCAGTGGGTGGCTAAGACAATAGGACCCCCATTATTGTTTAGGGCCCCTACCCACCGCCAAGGGGCTAATGGGGACAATAGATCCCCCATTGTTATTCAAGGCCCCCACCCGGTAGTCCCTCCTTGTAACAAACTAGGCCAAAATTTCGCCCAAGAAGCAATTTGGTCTTCAGTTAATTTGCTTTAAGTTCTATTTATTCGTCTTCCGAACAAATGGGCTAATAGCAGAAATTCTGACAAAAACGAATGCCAATGTCTACAAAATGGGCATGCGCTGGAATTTCACAGCACAAGCAAGAGTTGGCAAATGAAGGCAATGCAATAACGTCATCCAGGAACACTAAGATAGCGTCGCTTAGGACATAGATCTGGAGAAGTAAATATATAACAATCACTTCATTGCTAGCATGTCAGTGTCTCAATGGAGAAAATCTATGTGAGAACACACACATAAACATAAAGAGGACACCTCTACAAAGGTTCTACCACGAAGGGTATGGCGGTTCTCTAGCAGTTTGAAGACAAACTGGACACATGAAGTGGTATCTGTAAGCAGACATTATATTAGATCAAGGTAGGACAACATTTCAGGTTCAGTTGACTTAAAAACGAGAAGTGATGTAATTTGAGTTGGCTATATCTTTGTTTTATAACCTGCTGTATATGGAGAGTTTTTAAGTCTTTATAAGAATTGTAAGCCCTTACTAGCATACTCTTTTGTTTGCTTGTCTATTTATTTATAAGACTTGTAATTGGTTTCTTTTTTTTTGGAGGGGACGGGGATGCCGATGTACAGGTGACGTCAGTTCGCTCAATGTCACTTCTATCTCTCCCCCCCCAAAGTGCACCCTCCGACTCCATTGATCAGTGAGTGCTCTATTTTGTTTATGTGAAATGTACTCTGTATTCAAGCTTGATAAAAACCCCATAGCAGAGCCGAATTGATACTCTACCTTGTAAAATAAAATCTGCTTAAGGATACCCCTTATGTTGGCTAGTGATTTACTGCTGTGGCTGCTATTTGTGAAGAACAGAAGGAATGCCTGTGGGAGGTCTTTTCTGTACTCCCTTATCAATCAATTCTCCGGCATAGACGTCTATGCTGAATTCATTGAAAAGTGGGAGAAAGGCTTGTTTTTTTAAACCACTTTTCTTGCAATTTATACATTTGCTAGCAAAACAGCTAAGACAATGTAGAGGTAAAAATAAATGCTCTTTGAAAAGAGCATAAGTTGTTCCTGGCATGACAAGTGCCTTTTAACTTGTTATAAATAACCTACCTATGTCAATAATGCATTAAAAGAAAGAAAGAAAAAATCTATACATAACAGCATGGGTTAATGATAAATTCTCTTTAATGTGTTAAATTATTAAACTGTTCAAACTGAACCTTATCAGGAACTTGTACACATGCCATAAAAACGTAATGTACTTTTGACAGCCAATTGTCGCTATAATAAGATTAAGAGTGATTCATATCACCATTATCATGCAAAACACTTAAGAACTGGAGTATAATTTGGCAGTTAAAAAAAAAAAAAAAAAAGTAAAAAAATGCATTGTTAACACAAAGAATAAAACAGGAAACACTGAATACAAAAAGATACAAAAATGCTAATCACTAGCTTTAATAATAAAAAAAAAAGTATTTTGTGCACGATTATACTTTCAAAGTATGTAGAAAGTGTAGAGCACATTTCAGCAGCCTTCTCTGCAAAGCACATAATAGATGTAATGTGATGGGCAGAATATTCAACGTGGAACAGAATTAGAAGAGGCTTTCAGACAGACATAGGGATTGCGTGAATATTTCATGCTCTGAGAAACTCAGAGGCACTGCTCATTTGTAACACATACTCTTCCATTATCCCATGACCTTTCTTAGATTCCATTTTAATTCGGAGAGGCCACAGCAAATACCCAGCTAATCAAACACCCACCAAAAAAAGAAGAAGAAAAAAAAAAAAGTAACTTGTAACTGCAACAATAAATGTTGCTACCAATTTTATATTGGACAAACATTACCTGGAAAGGCTGATTGTATGTAAATTCTGTCCCAGGAAATGCAGGCCTGTCAGTTCTCTGTTCTGTAGATGTTTGTCCTACACAAGAAATAAATAATATATGATAAGTTTATTGCCATTATTTTGTGTGATCCCTTTCTAGACGCTTGTAGTCTGTACTATGTGTCTACGCATCCAAATGTCCCATTTATTTACATAGTATATTGGGATGGAATATTCCCCAACACTACGGAATTTTGCAAGCATTAATAAATATATATATATATGGATATGGATATGTAGAAAAGATAGAAAAGTATTATTACTATACTATTTCAGTTTTGACTTTAAAAATACAAAAACAATAAAAATAGAGTGTTGTTCTTTTATTGGCTGCCATTTAAAGGAACACTCCAAAGAAGAGTTGTCATATTGTACTACTGGATACTTCATGAATTCAACAACACAAATGACTTGAATATTCACTAAAAATAATTTTTTAACATATCACACCTGAAACATTTCTAAGTATTAGCATGAGCAAACACCACCAATTCCTTCACCTAATTTGACGAAATGTAAAACCATCATGATTTCACTACTAGAATTTAGTATAAGCTTTTTTATTTTCATGTATTAAAGGACCACTATAGTGCCAGGAAAACATACTCGTTTTCCTGGCACTATAGTGCCCTGAGGGTGCCCCCACCCTCAGGGTCCCCCCCCCGCCCAGCTCTGGGGAGAGGAAGGGGTTAAAACTTACCTTTTTTCCAGCGCCGGGCGGGGAGCTCTCCTCCTCCTCTCCTCCCTTTCGGCTGAATGCGCACGCGCGGCAAGAGCTGCGCGCATTCAGCCGGTCTCATAGGAAAGCTGAAGTGGTCTGGGTGCCTAGAGTGTTTCTTTAATAAGAATGAAATGTAATGCATAAAGGCTCAATCGTCCTTATTTATACTTTAGGTTGCTTTTTTTTATTATTTTATTTTTATTCTTTTATTTTTGCTGTGCCATAGATAACAAAACAAGCGTATGATGCCATGACAGCAATGATAAGCAAAGTAATAACATGCAATATAAGAGAGTAGCATGGCAATCAGAGTAAGTTAGCACAATTTTTTTAATAGATTAGTAATCTAGTTAAGTTTTACATGTCTAAGCAAATTACTGTATATAGTTAGTCGACATATAGTATAACTAAGACACAGACATTCTTAAGGTTAAAAGATAGAGACAAGCATACATCAACATGAATATTAACAGGAAAGCTGATTGCATGTTGTAAAGAGTAGGCCAGAGGTGATACAAGAGACTAGAGAAAGGATGATTGAGAGCAGTGTCACAGAAATTACCCCTTGGTGTAAGGGTAAGATGAAGGGCAATAGCTCTTCTTTGTGCAGCCCTGGCACCTGTATCAGCCTATGCCGGCTAGGGTCATTGCAGAGTCCTGAGGCTTTAAGAGCAATGACGGTCCTACGAGCCTCAGTGTGTACCAGCAGGTTGTTCCATATGACCAGATCAGGGTTACTCCTGGCACCTCAGACAGTTGAAGAGTCTCTGTCTTGGACTGGGGCGCATCCCTCTTGCTTGCTTTCCTGCGCTGGATCAATAAGCTCTTCATGGTTCGCTGCCATGTTGCGGTCTTGTGCACTGCTGGCGCCACAGGCTGCTGCTGGGTATGTATTGGCTGTGGTGTGTTGTAGTTTCCCGGCTGTCTTGAGGGAGGGTTCTGCATCCTGCTCTCCACTCTCCGCCAGAAATCTTCAAAGATTCTGTCCAGTCTGGACAAGATATCTTGCCTTTCTCCTGTGTTGCTGGAGATCCTCGCAGCAACCGCCATCTTAGGTGAGTAGTCTGATTTTGCAGTAGCTGATATGGTTTCACCACTATGGTCATGTTCTGTCAGGGCAGCCTCCCAGGGATGGACCGGGATCACCCCCACTGGAAACGGGGCATCTGTTCTTGATTAATTGCCGTCATATAGCCTCAGTCCGGGAGATCGGCCGATTTTCCCGCCTGGTGTGACTTAGGCCGCATGGTCCAAAACGTGCCACAAATGAGCTCACGTCGAATCTTTGAGCCCTGCAGGGATTCTCAGCTGGGTCAAGAAGCAGGTAAAGCCCTGGATTCGACCCAAATCAAGCTGGGTTAGGAAGAAGTCTGCTTATTAGTCAGTATAGGAGAGGAGCTTTATCAATACACGTCTCTCCACCATGCCCCACTCTAGGATTTTTTACCAGTCTATAGAGAAACTAATTTCTCTGCCAGAAACAATTAGTCACTGGTATAATTCCTGGAAGCTTGCTGAAAATGTGAATTTACCCCCTATTTCCACACAGTTAAGGAAATATCAGGGATGGGAGGAGTGAATGGACTTTACCATTTCACAGTCAGCATTACATTAGCTTTCCAGAGATTGACAAAAGATTGCTATAGCAGGTTTAAATATGGTATCTTTATTTTAGAAATATAATTTAACTGTATTTCCTGTATGTGGGAATTATGCTAAAATGCAGACATTTTAATACTTATACTGTCTAAAGTTTTTAATTTTCCAAATTTACAAATACATGGAAAAAAAAAATGTGTGTAAATTCCGCAATTTAAATGTTAAGGTTTTTGTGCAAAGCAATCAGTACATATAATGGTGGTGTTATATATGTTAGCTGTGCATCCCTTGCTGCAAATAAATATTATGCTAACATGTTTTCTATCAAAAAGTGCTAGGTAGTGAAAGGGCTGATAAGTTGTATGAATTAAAAGACAAATACGCACTCTAACCACAATAGAGCATATCAAAATCAACAACCTAACAATTACACATGTGCAAACATTTTTTTGAACTCCCTTAAAGGACCACTATAGACACCCAGACCACTTCAGCTCAATGAAGTGGTCTGGGTGCCAGGTCCATCTAGGGTTAACCCTGCCTGCTGTAAACATAGTTTCAGGGAAACTGCTATCTTTACAAATGGGTTAATCCAGCCTCTAGTGGCCATCTCATTGACAGCCGCTAGAGGCGCTTCTCACTGTGATTTTCAGTGAGAAGACGCCAGCGTCCATAGGAAAACATTGAGAATTCCGATGACGACCGAAGGAGGAGAAGAGTCCCCAGCGCCGAGGGAGCCCGGCGCTGGAGAAAGGTGAGTGTTTAACCCCCTTCCTCCCCCTTCAGCCCGGCGGGAGTCGGACCCTGACGGTGGGGGCATTATAGTGGTCCTTTAAACAAATGAATACACATTGCAAAGTCCATAAGGAAAATTACATGTTAATTACTCTGTCACTTATTAGATTGATCAATGCATTTGGCTATCCTTAACCTTCAGCCTGTGAAATATAACTAACTCATGAAGGCATCAGCTTTCTTTTTTTTGCCATTAACCTTGTGTTATCGACCTATCAGCCTCAATGTTGCAAGACTGAAGGGATACCCTAAGCACCAAAACAACGTTAACTTAACGCCTTAGTGAACAGATTGTTTTTCAATGTTCTTACCGTTAAGGACCAGGGCTCTTTTTACATTTCTGCTGTGTTTGTGTTTAGCTGTAATTTTCCTCTTATTCATTTACTGTACCCACACATATTATATATATTTTTTTGCCATTAAACGGTCTTTCTAAATATACCATTATTTTCATCATATCGTATAATTTACTATAAAAAAATTATAAAATATGATGAAAAAAAATGTAAAAAAACCTCACACTTTTTCTAAATTTGACCCCCAAAATCTGTTAGGCATCTACAACCGCCCAAAAAACACCTGTGCTAAATAGTTTCTAAATTTTGTCCTGAGTTTATAAATGCCCAATGTTAAAATGTAGCTTTTTTTGCATAGCGTGTGATCTGTCCTCCAACCAATGCCCACCAGTGATTTAACAGGTCCCATCTTCATAGGATTGAGTCTTGCTAGTGTCTGGCTGCCCTGGCCACCTGCCTCATAATTAACCCTTACGCTGCCAAGGGTTTTTATCTATTTGTCTGATGGCATATAGTGGGAAAATATATTTTTAAATTATCAATTCACTTGCTAAAAAAGCTTAAACAATAATCTGCAAATGTCCGATTCAGAATTGTGTTAGTATTAGTGATTTGTGAATATTCAGAATCCTATAATTCTCACTAACTCTTGTTTTTGGCTATTTTTTTTGAAAAAGATGTTACATTTTTATGACCACAAAATGCTTATAATGCACAAAATCTATACACAGCGGTTTTAAATTTGTGAGGTACATTGCTTAAAAAGGAGGGATGAATTGAGATGGTTAAATTTTGTTTAATTAGTAACTTTATCTAATACACCTCCCCCCAAAAAAAAAGACTAATTGCCATTTAAACCCAGAATTGCTAATCTTAGGATCCGACAACTCCTTCCAATCCTGCTTAAGTTTAAGAACTTCATTTTGTCATCTGTGGTGATTAAATTAGATTAATTTGTACAGTAACTGCACTGATTTCTCTTTAAAGTGACACTACAGACACAAAACCAACTTTAGCCTAATGAAGCATGCTTTGGTGTATAGATCACGCCTTCTCACTGCTCAATTCTCTGCCATTTAGGAGTTAAATCATTTGTTTATGCAGCCCTAGACACATCTCCGTGCATGAGACTTACACAGCCTTGCTAAATGCTTCCTGTAAAGAGATATCTAATGTTTAAACTTCCTTTATTGCAAATTCTGTTTAATTTAGAATTCCCTATCTGCTTCTCTGTTAATAACTTGATAGACACTGCAGGAGCCTCCTGTATGCAATCCAATTCACAGAACAGTAGATAAAACGTTTTAAAGCAAGTAACATCTGATTGAAAATGAAACCATTTTTTTTTTTTTTTTTTATGGAGTCTGTGTCAATCACAGACAGGGGAGGTGTGGCAATGGTTGCATAAACAGAAACAAAAGTGATTAAAGGGACACTATAGTACCCTGAGGGTGCCCCCACCCTCAGGGTCCCCCTCTTGTGGCGCTGAAGGGGTTAAAACCCCTTTAGCTACTCATCCTTTTCCCCCGCCGGGCTCCCTTACCTCTCCTCCCCCACCAATGTCAGCATCCTATGGACGCTCTGCGTGACTGAGGCATAATATGCCTCAATCATTGGCGACGCGCCTCTAGTGGCTGGCTTAACCCCAGATGTAAACATAGCAGTTTTTCAGAGACTGCTATGTTTACATCAGGCAGGGTTAACCCTAGAGGGACCTGACACCCAGACCACTTCATTGAGCTGAAGTGGTCTGGGTGACTCTAGTGTCCCTTTAAACTCCTAAATGGCAGAGAATTAAGCAGTGAGAACAAGTAATTCTCTGATGTTTAGGAAAATAGGATAGGCAGCAAAAAGAATTTCAACTAATCCCCCTCTTTTCAACTAAAGGGAATACAATACATTGTAAAAGGAAAATAATAAGGAAGTTGCACAATGTAACATTAACAATAAGTATTGATTGTAGATGTATCAGATCTGATCCATTTACAAGCAATACTTACTGTAGATTAAAAGTGC